TCAACATCAGATCAAAGTGTGCTCCTGCTGCTTGAATTATTCACTACTATATTTACCAGAGAGGAATATGGATTCCACTGTCCCCATATAATAATCTCTGAAGCAGAAGAGAATCTTGCATATGCAAGCCAAAAGAAATATTGCTGAAAGCAAGGCATATGGGGAGTTCGTTTAGTGACTGTTCGAAATTACAATGGCATGGAAAAAAGTGACTTATGGCTCTTTTTCACGCTTACAACCATTGCAGCATCCCCATGATTATGTGATCAAAATTTGAATGCTTGGCAACTAGTTCATATTTATGACAGTTGCAAAGTCCTGGGGTCATGGGATCACCTTTTTTTTCAAAAGTTTTTTTATTTTTAATCTCATATACATTTACAGATATACAATCTCATGGTTACCATTAACATTATGTATTAACAATTTCAAAAATTCATTTTTCCATATAAAAGTTAAAATATATAATCGGGAATTGCTTTGCTTAACATCCCATACATCTATTTTATTTTACCACAACCCTGCTTTCCTTTCCTTTTCTCCCTCCCTTCTTCTTCCCTTTCCTCTCCCCCACTCCTCTCCTCTTCTTCTCCTTCATACCCTCTCTTCTACTCTGACTACCCCTCCCTACCTTCTTCTCCTTTTCTCTTTCTTCTTTCCCTCTCCTTTCCTCTCTTCTCCTCTCCTCTTCCTACCTTTCCTCTATTCCTTTCCTCTTTCTATTGTTGTGATTGCATATTTTCCTGTTCCATCTGGAATATTTTCGGGATGATGATCACCTTTTGAGAGCTTCTGACAGGCAAAGTCAATCAGGAAGCCAGGTTCACTTAACAAACGGGCTACTAAAATAACAGCGGCAGTGATTCACTTAACAACTGTGGCAAGAAAAATTAGTAAAATGGGGCAAAATTCACTTCACAAATGTCTCACTTAGCAACAGATTTTTTGTGTGGTCATATTGGGGTTGTAAGTCGAGGACTACCTCCAATGCAAGTGAGTGACTGAAGTAGAGAATGTAAGAAGCCACCCTTATCTCCTCTGCACCACAGAGTAAGAAGAACAAATGGAGCCCCTTCAACTGGGGAACTCCATGCATTTTTCTAAGCTCGCATTCTTGGGGAGACAGAAATGAGAGTTGCGGTTTCCTCCTTTTCTACTTCAGTGCAGACTGTAACTTTCTACATCTAGAGGCAAGGAGAGTAGTATGCTCTTATCCAGTGGGAAAATCCTCTAAAGTCTGCTACCAGTTCGGTGAGTCTGCTACCGAGCGTGCGCTTTGCGTGCATGAGGCGTGCCTACGCAGCCCTAAAAAGGAACATTTTGAAGCCTTCCAAGTCTGCAAAGGTAAATAGAACAGCGAGGGAGGGGAGAATCTGCTTTGCCACGCGATTTAGATTAGCTAGAAAGCAGGAAATCTAACGATTCTAGCTAATATAAATCATACGTCAGAAATACCAGTTCGCCCGAACTGGTAGCATTTCTTTTACTACCGATTTGGGCAAACTAGTGGTTCGTATGAGCCAGTCCTAACCAGTAGCATTTCATCCCTGCTCTTAGCCTGTTCCTCTTTCAATAGCAGCAAACTGGGTAGGATTAGAAGTCATAAGCGTTTCCTTATTTTACTCAATTAGCTTAGCCTTAGCGCTTATTAGTTTGACAAACATATACACCATGCACGTCATAATCATCTGAATTTTTAATCCTGACATTAACCATTTTTCAAATTTATTTTCTCCCCAGGGTACATATGTACTCATATGTGTACACATAGATATATGTCTCATGCACAGATTTACTGAGGAGAAAATCTTCAGAATTAGTTTCAGCAAGAACTGGCAATCAAGCAGATATACAGGCAATCCTTGACTTAAAACCACAATTGAACCTAACATTTCTGCTGATAAGCAAGACAGTTGTTAAGTGAGTTTTACTTCATTTTACAACTTTTCTTGCCACAGTTGTTAAGTGAATTCCTGCAGTTGTTAAGTTAGTAAAACAGTTGTTAAGTGAATCTGGCTTTCCCATTGATTTTGCTTGTCAGAAGGTTGCAAAAGTTCCTCACATGACCCCGAGAGACTGCAATCATTATAAATACATGCCAGTTACTAAGTATAACCTATATCACATATAGTAGAGCTATATAACTTTTTCAATGCTCTTGTAACTTCAAAAGGTCACTAAACAAATGGTTGGACGTCAAAGACTACCTGCAGTAAGAAAGATGACTGTGATATAGATTTACAATATGTTGTGTCATTCTTCTTTTTCAATTTTTGGAGAACCATCTTAATTCATCTTACACTTCAGTAAATTTGGTCAATTAATTATTTTATTAGAGCTACCATCATTTGAACTTCATGATTTATTTGGTTTTGTGTTCTGTATATGTGCATTTTATGAAAAGCACTCTTCCAAAAAGTTTAGCTCCTCTTGAAAGTCTGCTATATTCAGTCAACTATTCTCTATTCTCATTTTGTTTAGATGCCAATTATGCTGGCCAAAGAGATCACTGAATGGGATTACTTAATTATTTAAGTAAAAGAGAACAGTCAAAGAGATATATCGTACTTGGTTTTGAGAAGCCAATGAAAAGGAAAGTGACCGAGACAATAACATTTTCCCTTCTCTTCCTCCTCCCCCCACTTTTAAAATCATTGGTCTGAAATCCATTATCTTAATCTGTAGTGATACTACAGATTAGCAGTGATGATATCTGGATGACTTAATAATAGGCTAATTGTGGCTGCATAACACCAACAATGTAGCAAGAATGAAGGTATTGGTTTTGGATTATGGAAAACTAGTTTCAAGTCCCAACTCCACCACAGAATTCATTCTCAGTACAGCCAACCTAATAAGTTGATGTTGGGGGAACAAAATTAGGAGAAACACCATGTTCCCTATAACCCAGAGGTGTCAAACTCATGTTGTCATGGTGGCATCACATGACGTATTGGGACTTTCCTCCCCTTCATTAAACCGGGCATGGGCGTGGCCAGCGCATGACACATATGCCCCGCAGGCCAAAAGTTTGACAGCCCTGTTATAACCCATCTTTAGCTCCTTTCCTCCCTCCCTTTTTCTCTCTCTGTCTATAAAAATGAAGGATTTAAGTGCAATGAATATTGGGGAGGAAAGGGGTGTCATGTCATATAATATTTCACTGATATCTGCAGGATCAATTTCAAAATATAACACAAAGGAACTGCATCTGGATTAGACAGTGCTTAAGGTGTAGAGTCTACGAAGTCTCAACATATCTTTCATACTCTTTAATATCTCTATGAAGCTGCTGGATGAAGTCACCTGGAGAAGGTGACTTAAAGATGTCAATGAAACAAAGCTTCCCCTTTTGTCCTCAAATTCAGCAGTCAGAGTACACCAATAAACTGAATTGAATTTTGACAACATAGTTCTCAACAATTGGTAGTTTCTTGATAAATTACAAAACAAACAAATAATATAATGGGGAAAAATACCTCTTAATAGAACAGAATGAAAACATAAATCAAATTCTTGACTAATTTTAAATAACCAGGAAAAACTATCATCTGCAAATTGTTGTTGTTACTACAGTTAATATTCATTTAACCTCATAGATGTCATTCAGATTAATTTTTAGACCACAGCAAATGTTGGTATTTAGATTTCCAATGTTAAATAATGTTGTCTACTGCTTTCAGGGGTTAAAACAAGCAGAATTTCCAGGTGTTTGGTTACAGCAACTCTTCGTATTTTAGAACAATACAGAAGACATCATTGACATATGGACTGACTGTGATCCATAAAAACACATTATACGAAAATAATAAGAATAGCAAGGTTTTATTCAGTCTCTTTCATAAGTGAAAATGGTGTACTCTCCTTCAAAGATGGATACACATTTTCTGAATGTTTGTTAACAATTACCATAGTAACATTTCTACTGGCTTCAAAAGAAAAATGCTTCATACGTTACAGATCCCTTGGAGAAACAAATGCATCTAACTGAATTACAAAATAATCATTCATAGAACACAATGAGTGTGCAATTACATCAATTTTTCCCCTCTCAAAACTATTGACTATTACTATTAATGGATGAAAATTCAATATTTATTATAGTGCTTAGATAATGTTTTATAATAGAAATATGTTTTGTTAAAAACCAGGGTAAATCAACTTTCTGAATGGAACAACAAACTACACTGCATTGGCCTAAATAATTGCCTCACTGAAAAAGAAACTTTCCTCTTAAAATTTTTTTTTCAACAATGGATGACTAATCAACCTGTAATATTGGAAGCAGATGTTGTATCAATGCTGCATTTTTAAAAGATTGAGAAACTAACAAAATTAAAGGTGAAAGAAAATGTTAATGCTACATCTGTGGCAGGGTTGGGGTGGATTGAAATACTGAATTTAGATAGGTCACACCTTTTTCTGTAAGTATACTGACACAGATTTTGATATAACCACGCAAGGAGTGAAAGTACAGTTGTATCATTTGCCAATAATATACCAAAAAGCTTTCTTTTGGTGAGAAAGTACTACAGACACATTACACAGCTGGAGATTTACCACTATATATGCTAGCTGGTCTCCTAGTTGAAGTTGGAAAAATATAAAACAAATTTGACATAAAAAACCACAACTATTTGAATTCTCACATCTATTTCATAGACCAGGAAAAAAGTTCAAGGAATATTTCTTTTGTTCCATAAAGCAAAGAATTTGCTTCATGGCACCCAAAAAAAACCAACCCCACAATTCAAATAATATCTGCTAGATGTTGAAATCTAGGTTTAAAAAGAGCCGTCAAACATTTATTACGGTATGCTGTATTTATTTATTACAGTATGGTGTGTTTTTCTACACTCCAGATAAAAAATGATTATACTCACACTATTTCTATAGCTTTGAAAATCACTCCTAACGGGTTCCTTGGGAGGTACAGTAGGCAAAAGATCACCAGTAGGAAAAAAAAAATCCTTACAAGACGTCATCTATATTCAACTTACTAGGAATAGGTCTAAGGACGTCAGGAATGAGAATCTCCACCAAAGCCTGGTACATCACATGGTCACAGTTACACATCCATTTCAGAATTGACTCATTTTTGCACAGAGTTATCAGCTTTGCTTTCGGAAGTCGACTTTCTATTTCACTCAGATTGCTGGTGTGAACAAATGTATTAAATGAATAAATGAAAATGCATTTACATGAAGATTAAAAAAGAACAATGGATTTCAAAGCTTTTACAAATAAAACATTCGAGATGTCTGAAACACACTTAGTTGCCCTGAAGCGTTTTGTGCTGTAATGGCTGATACATGGCCTCCATAGTTTTAACCAAGGTGCACAGTTTTATGCAGCAGTGATAAGAATGGGCTTTGAATTTGGAATTATCCCATGAGAAAATAACTCCTATTCGCAGAAAATAAAGTGATATGCATACAACTATATGCTGCAGTCCTCATAATAAAATGAAACTTTTTATTTTAATAATTTAAAGGCCAGCATTCCTTTGGATGTAAAAGGTAGATTTTATTTTGTTTGTTTATAAACCGAATACCCAAGGTCTAAGGTAAATACTAACCTTGGCTCAGTGATAGTAGTGCCATCAGTTGTGGTTGAGGGAGAATAGCGCCAAAAAGTCTGCCACAATTTTTCTATTAGGCTAAACTGAAGGTTCACTACAACATCCAATATTGCCTGAAAATCCAAAGCAAATACCGGTTTGCATTTTGTCTTTATTTAATGATAAATACCATGGCTGCAGTTTATAAGAAAATAAACCCCAGCAAGCTCAGTGGGACTCATTTCCCAATAAAAAATTTTTGCACTGCACAATTATGCAGTAATTGGGTCATTTGATTGGTCATTTTCATAAACAGACTTATTACATGGCATTCAAAAGGATTATCCTTATAATAATTTCTGATATGAAGAAAAAATATATCCTGCCTTACATAGAAGTTCAGTAAAAATATAGACAGTAAATGACAATGGAAAAGCTGGCCTACATAAATTAAATGATGTCAGGTAAGTAATAATTTTAAAGGAGTTCCATAATTATCAACTGAGAAAGGAGACAGTGTTGATGTCTAAGTTGACACTGTCCACCTGTTAACAGTTGAGTGGTGTTTTAGACAGCAGAAGATGCTCTCTTCATAAAGTACAAAGTAATTCTGGAATCCATCACCTTCTGCAACAGAAATGAATAGCCTGATGTTATCCAGGTCTTTTGGATCATTCCCCAATCCTCTGGTAGTAGCTGTGCTTGATGTGCAAAGGTGAAAGTAAGTCCTAATAATAATAGCAATAGCACGTAGACTTATATACCACTTCACAGTGCTTTACCATCCTCTCTAAGTGGTTTACAGGGTCAGCATATTGCCCCCAACAATCAGGATCCTCATTTTACCCACCTCGGAAGGATGGAAGGCTGAGTCAACCTTGAGCTGGTGAGAATCTAACTGCCAAATTGTAGCTGGTAGTCAGCAGACATAGCCTGCAGTACTGCATTCTAATCTCTGCACTATTATGGCTCCTGGTGATAGACTAATGGCATTGGGCTTCTCTCTCCTCATATTCTAGAATGTAGGCCAGGTCCCTGAACTATTCTCTAAATAATTCACGTTAAAATAATTGCTTCATCCAATAATCATATGCTTCAGATCTTTCAGCAGTGTTCAAGACAATTTTGTTTGCAACACTAATTTTGTTTCATATCTGGAGTCTTCCATTTTGCCATTGCTTAACCATGACTGATCTTTATGATGGCAGAACTTAACATAATGCAAAGAAGACTTTAAAAAGCAAAACCAGCTTTCTATTCTTTGGCTACACCCACAGCATTTTAGACATACAATACATATTATGTGAAGCATTATTTCACTTAGCAACATTTTCAGAAAACAGAAATGGGAAGGAATGGAGACAATTGGAATTTTGTATTTTATAAGAGAGACTCAAAGGTAAAATGACTTGTTTTGTCGAGTCCCTCTTCCTTACCTCACAGTGTTCTCGATAGAGACTCTGTAAAGACTTAATATCCTCAAAAGTAGTACCATCTGGCAGCGAAGAGATTTCAACTTCTCCAAACTCTGGAAGTGCTCGAGATGCATCTGTATCCATGACAACCCAATAGAAGAATTATATTGTGGACTGTGTCAATCATAATATAATTAAAAGAACAATGAATAATATTAAGAAATAAATACCCCAAAGAACTATGTGTTGAATTCAAAACCAAAAGCAGAAATATTTGGCAAGATGATGCATAATTTAATTTGTTTGCAATTTGAATTAAGAGTCTATAATTCTACATTAAATATTTTAAACAAAATAACCAAATTTGTTGAACATGTGCTGCATTCAGTGGAATAAAATAAATTTTGAAAGGGTATGATTTGAAACAGGAAATACAGAGTTAGAATATGTCAAAAGAGGGAAATGTTTCTCATAATGTTCTATTACATTCTAACCTCTTTTAAATTCAGTCCATTGGAACTAGTCCAAATCTATTGGGAATTATAAAAGACATTTCTGCCTGCTATATATGTCAGTTTTCCAGGTATATGAACATTGGTCTTGTGCTATTCCTTTTTCCTCCAGTATAAACATATATAATTTCCCCCATTTTTCCTCATACAATTATGTTTTATATATAATTGATAATTTTCAATGACCTCATCTATCCCATTCTAAAGTATTTACATCTATTTGAAAGTGAAGCTAACAGTGATTACATCACTTCAGATAAGGTCTAATCATTACAGAACAAAGCACAGCTTTTATTTCCCTTGAACTGAGAAACACATTCTAAAATTCACAGTTAAAAGTGCATTTGCTTAATTACTTCTCAATTGAGATACAGAAATAAAAGTGTCTTAAAGTCACCAATTGTAATCCTTTTAGTCTCTTCTTTATGCCTATTATCATATTTGCCTTAGTTAATGACTGCAAAATAAATGGATTTGATTTGAATGCATCTTAACAGTTGCCCTCAGCCAAACACAATAGCAGGCTTGGTTTAGTAGAATTCCCATATATTTAACTAAATTCTCTCTAGCCAGGATGAATTTCTTCAGAGTTATTGCCTGCAATAACAGGTTCACTGAAATATTACTTCTGTGGCATGCCCAGTTTGTCAGATTCAATGCAACTGTAGAAAACCCTATCAATTCTTGAAAATATAGCCTCAAAGACAGGGAGCTTTAATTTCCTCAGGCAGTGCATTGTAGTTTGCCCTCTTCTCAAGTATAGCATCTTCTGACAGGACTACCTTATATCTCCATATGCCAGTTTTGGCTGAGCCAAAATATTCATCATTTAATTATCTCTTTCCCACTGCTTCTACATTTTATTAATGTGATAGATTTGACTCTTAAACTGTGAATTGCCCAACTGAAAAAAAAATGCAATAGCCTTGAATGGTGGTATTATGTGAAATTGATATTATTGATACAGATCAATAATTGTATATATGTATACATGTATGTGTGAGTGTACACACACAAATAGTGGTGAAGATTAATTGATTCAGAGAACAAATAATTCTGAAGTAATTCATGTTGCACGTATTTGTGCAAAGGCAATATTTTAGAAATAGCACTGAATATATCCTGTCTACCACTTGTTTTATGTTTTTTAAACTATATTGGGACCATCTGATGCTACTAAGCTACTCTAGGAAAAGAACCTAGGAGTAGAGTTCAAAGGGGATCAGTCTAGAATCCTTACATAGCCACAACTGAACTAAGAAGTCCAACCTCTCTTGAATTCTGTTGCCCCTTATCTAACTCCAAATACGTGCTAACCATTACTTGAGAAACTTTCTGTGCATAGGTTTTTAGCAATAAACCAGATTAATTGGACATCAGGACCTGAACTTTTGCTCCTGACAGCTTTAGATTTTACATTCCAGCCAGTGTAATCAGAAATGCTAGTACAGTTCAGCAACATCTAGAAATTCCCAGCCTTGCTTCAAATTAACATACTGTTTCCCTGAAAATAAGATAATAAGCCCAATCGGGCTTTTGAGCACATGTGCTAAAATAAGCCCTCTCCCGAAAATAAGCCATCCCCGAAAATATTGCAACACAGCAGCAGCCATGAGATGACCAGACTTGCTGCCTCCTGCACCTTAAAAATAAGACCTCCCCGAAAATAAGGCCAAGTGTTTATTGGGGGAGAAAATAAGACCCTGTCTTATTTTTGGGGAAACACGGTATTTCAGAGGGAATAGTCATAGAATAGAGGAGTAAAACGGTCTTATTCTCCAGTATAACAACAAAAGGATGTCAGAAAATGCATTCAACCTACAAACCTAATGAAAAATTCAACATCTGTTTTGTTATCAAGTTGAAGCAATACTATTACATTCTCTAAAATAGTCCTATTAATTACAATGGATTATTGAAAAAAACATGTCCATTCTGTATTTTAGCTAAAGATGACCATGTTTCTTTTTCCACATACCTAAAAATTGTTGATGATGCTGACTTTGAGCTATCACAGTTTGTTCAACAGATGTGCCTGTTTGCTGACCACTTGTTGTAAAACCATCTGAGACTCCATCCACTTTCTGCATAGGTTTGTACCTGAAATATATTAAAGGCAACATAGGTAACATAGCATTTATAAGACTACTATAGGGTTTCTTCCCCAGAAAAATGACATATCTTCATATTGCTTTCAGAAATGTTTGTGATGCATTCCATGAAATAAGCAGTAAAAAGATAACTTCAGCTGTTCAGCATGTCAGCATTTGCTTTTCTATAGGTACCTCATGTAGCATGCGTGTAAGCTGGATGATTACAGATACCTTTGAATTCTTTTAACGTTATACGGTAAGCAAGTGCGTTATTAGATAATTATAGAATTGAATTAGCTTTAATTTTTCAGTGTGGGTTCAAATTGCACATATCAATTCCCAGCATCTTCCAGCTATTTATTTAAAATGAACAGCTTGCTACCCTTCATTATGTGGATTCTCTTAATTAACATAGTAGAGCAGATCCACAGTTTCACACCAGTGTCTTCCCCAAAAACACTTGGTTCTCTCCCTAGTTGTCAATTCATTTTCCACATGATCTGAAGAAGAGAAATAGCTACAGAAAGAAGCTCAGGAAGAAAGCTTGTTGAGAGGCCTGCTGGTCTTTTTTTTACATTCCATTTGGGATCATCAAGTTCTAACCAAGTTCAGCGAAATCCTATATTTCTCCATTCCTTCTTGAGGTAGCAACTACAGCCTTAGTTCCCTCTCAGCTAGAGTAGCATGCACATCTCCATGATAAATACAAGGAATCCAATCATTTGAGTTAATCAGCTACTAGGCAAACAAGAATATATTTAAAGTTCCACCTTTTATATTTCCTAGTTATTCCTTTAGCCCTTACCCGTTTAAAGGCATAATGGTATTTATGCAGTGTTAATGGCCTTTCACTATTCCTTGAGGAAGGTGAGCAGTGTAGAAGCATGAAATATAAACACATAAATAAAATTCCTAATTTTGCTTCTTTACCCAATTGGTTAGGCAGCTTTGGCAGCCAAAACACTTCAGTGGGAAAGCAGATATGTAGATTAAATGACCAATGAGAAATCAGTTTCTTTGGCAATGACTTCTCCAGTCCTCCATTCCCCCCCCCCCCTTATTTGGAAGATCCTGATCTCACTATTCTATCACCTGCGAGGGAACACTTTTCATGAACATCACAATATAGTTTTGTGGACATATGTAATGGGAAAATCCAAGTAAGTAGCAAAGAAATGCAGGAAAATAAATGAAGAAATAAATCCTAACAAAGGCAGAAATCTAATAGGTATAAAATGAATTCATAGTTCAGAGAAAGAAACCAGTATATTTTAAAGTGAGAAAGCACAGAAACAAAATCAATATATTGCTATAAGTGCTGTTTTAAATACAGTAGCTATAGTAGCTATGTTGACAATAACCCAGTTTCTATATCTGTCTATAGATAGTTAAAATAATAGTCATTTCATGGCAGCTTCAACTTGACTTCAAAAGCATAAATTGTACTCATTTCTTCAAGAGGTTGCCTTTTCTGGTTTAAATATTTCATTTGGTAATTCAAACTATAAATTTAACAATATCAAATCAAAGTAACAACTGTTTTAAGACTATACTTGTTTATTACAATAAAAATAATTCCAGAATTTATAGGAAATATTAAGAAAGTGTGTTATAGTAGTTTTGCAACCAAATACGGTAATACCAGCCTTTAGTACTATAGAGTTGTAGATTAGAATTATTATTCCCATGTCTTTTGTGTTAGTGAGCATTTTGAAATTTGAAAAATTACAGCTATGGAATTGATCCCCCCCCTCCATACCAATTTTCTCTAACATACTTTTTCTTACTTCTTGTTTATCATCTTTTACTCTTCCTAGAAGCATGATACATCTTGGTCATATATTCAAAATGGTGGCCTAAAATATCCTTAACTCAGGTCTCAATCTGTGACTTTTGTCTATCCAGTCCATGATCCAAAGAATGATCTACATTCTTTCCATGAATCTGACTGGACTGGACTGGACTGGACTGGACTGGACTGGACTGGACTAGACTAGACTAGACTAGACTAAAATAGAATAATAGAGTTGGAAGGGGCCTTGGATGTCTTTTAGTCTGAACTCAAGCAACAGTAATGGAAGCAGTATTGCAATGCAAGCCTAATTCTTTTTTTACATGCATTATGGCATTACATTTATACCGAAATAAAATCTGCTGAACTAAAGTTTAAGCATGACTAACTTAGCTTGAATTTAAGCCTTCAAGTTTACAGGCAAAATAAATAAATAAATAAATGAAAACATTTCTACAAACATACTTAAGGCATAGTGTTATCTTGTCACAAATTCACATTCCATGCATGCATAGTCATTTGCAGACTGATCGTTCTTACAATGTCATATATATAGCTTACAGAGATACTCTACTAGTTATTGCAAAATAAATCAGTTGGTTTAAAAACTACACTCTAGGTCTGGATTGGACACTAGGTCCAATCCAGACTTGTAAAATCTGAACTAATTGTGTTTTACCTTGGTTTCTTTACAAACTATTGATACGAAATTCAGCTTAATTTTTTTATTTTACAAGTATGTATTTACTCACTTATTTTAGAAAGAGAATAGAAATAACTGGGTGATGATTTAGATCACAGATCTCAACCTGTGGTCTGTGGACCCCTGAGGGTCCCACAATGTTGTCACAGGGGGTCCGCGAAAGTTTGAAGAAATGTAATCATTTAAATCTTGAGTTAGGTCTTGGTGCACTGCTCATGGCTAAGGTGACCAGACGTCCCGATTTCAGCGGGACAGTTCCTCTTTTGAACAATTTGTCCCGCGTCCCGGTTTTTTTTTTAAAAGTCCCAATTTTTTTTAAGTTACGAAAAAGCCTCCAGCCACCTTGAGGCTCTCCTAGCAACTG